CTCATGGAAAAAAATTAATATTTTTTTAAAAAACAAAACACTATTTCAATGGACCAGCAGTTAGTGTAATGGTTATGTTGCTGGACTCCCATGTTATGTTGCTGGACTCCCATGTAGTCGACCACGGTTCGCGTCCTGGACCCAGTGGCTTAAAACTCACGCCAGGCGCATGTGCATGCGTGCCCAAGATCCCGAGAGGAGAATTAGTTCAAGTCCCAGACCTGGTGGATTCCTTTTTCACTTTCCCTCTCTCTCTCTGTGTCTCTCTCTTTTTGTGTCTCTCTCTGGTCAAAGTAAAATAAATGAAGGAGGAATAAGTAAAATTAAAATAAATCATTTAAAAAAAAAAAAGAAGAAGGAGATACACTGGACATGTGTGCATACATGCCCAAAATCCTGAAGGGCAGGAGAGATGGAAGAGAAGTAACTGTGATGTGGCTTTCTCATTCCCCTTTCTTTCTTCCTGTCTCTCTTGTGAGTACACATGACTTCTGGCAAATTCAAAAATAAAAGAATAATAAAGGAGATGCTGAAGAAATTTACCTATACACTTGTCACCTGTATCTAATGCTAACATTAGGTACATCTAATCAAGAGATAATATAAAACATACAGGAGGGCCGCTGTGGCACAGCTGTGGAATAAGGCTCTGTAAGGTTGATCCACATGGAAAGTCTCCAGGTTCCCATCTGGAGTCCTCCCTGGGTGCAGTGGGCACGTGTATGCCCATGATCCAGGGTTGGCTGGAGCTGGAGATGGGTCATAACACTGGGACTCTGTTGGGGTGATATCTTTCTGTTTCTCTTTGTCTTTCATTCATGGAAAAAATAAATTGAAAAAATAAAATATATGGGAAGGTGTGTGCAGGTTACATGGAAATACTATGCCATTTTACAAAAGGGACTTGAACATCCGAAATTTGGTATTCACAGGAGCTCCTGGAACTAATCCCCTGCAGAGACTGAGGCACAACTGTTACAAACATACATATAACCTAATGAACAGCAGCTGTCCTTTTTCCGCTGCTGCCCCTGCCATTGCAGCAGCTTTAGCCTTCTCAGCTTCATCGTATGTCGGAAGAGAGGTAGCAACACTGTAGGGAGGTGGCACAGGATAAAACTCGTTGTAAACTTCTGTATCTGAATTAAAAAATTCAAGGAGGATAATCATTATAAACACACTGTTTAATGGGGTTGAGACGGTGACATGACAGTGAATATAAAGCTCGGCAAGGCTGACCCACAGGAAGGTTCCAGGTTTGCATCTGGAAACCTAAGCACGATCAGCACGCACATGTCCAAGATCGCGGGCTGGCTGAAGCTGCGGGTGGAACACGGCATAGTGATTCGGCTAGGGGTGCTCTCTT